TACCATAAAATAATTATAGCATTCTTAGGCCATATATTTACATACATATTTTATATATAGTATTTTTTATAGTATTTATTTACGTATTATAGTATTTATTTACATATTATAGTATTTCTTTACATAATAATATATCATACAATCGAGCAATTTTTTTTTTGGCACAATAAAGTCAATAAAGAACAGCTCGCCTCATATTCTCCAGCTGCATTTACAAATAGTTTAACCATCAAATTAGATTTGACACAGGTTATGCGAAATACAATTAAAATTCTGCATAGCTCAGCTTATCATATGACACTTTCCATTTGCAGCAACCCTTACCCTGCGCTGCCCTCCGCTCCCCTCCTCACTACCCACTCCCCCTGCGGCACTCACATCAGCCAAGATCCCTTAAGGGACTGCGTATAATGAAAATGAAAAGGCTGCTTGCAGCTAGCACTTGCACTCACTTAGCTATTCATAACTGACACACACACACACACACATACACGAACACACACACACACATATAAACGTACTCATACACACAGAGCCAAACACCGACAAATTTAAATAATTCAGCGAAAGAAATTCGCTTTTAGCCAATGCCAAAAGCCAACGAGCGAGACAAACAAGATAGAGAAAGGGAGAGAAAGAGAGAGAGAGAGAGCGACAGCAGCGGATAGAGCGAACGCAAGTTGTGAAGTGAGAAGCGGAAAAGCCACAAAAACCAGAAACTTGCAGTCGCGTGCAGCTGTCTGTCTGTGTGTGTGTGAGTGTGTTTGTCTCTCTCTCTCTCCCTCTGTGTGTGTGTGTGTGTGTGTCGTAGGGCAGTACTTGACAAGGGCTAAAAGCACCGGAGCCCTGTGGCTGTGGCTGAGCATGATTGTGGCTAAAAACTCGCGCGCGCTTTAGACACACATTAAAATTTCAATTTTATACAAATTAAAATTTTATCAGCATATTTTCGGTTGTCTGTGTGTGTGTGTTATACTCAAATATATGATGGATTGTTTGTCAAACAGCAAACATAAATATGTATGTATGTATATGAATAACTTGCGTGTGCTATTATTATGTTTAATATATTAAATGCAGGTAAACAATTATTTATTGACATTCAGCTGATTTTAATTTGATTTAAATTTTGTTATGGCTCCTTTAAATTGATAATTTGAGGTTTTCTATATGGAATATAATAAATATTTTTTTACATTTAATATGAAATTATTTATTATTATTTTTTTAACTACTCTATTTAGTTCAAATTATCATGTTATTGCAATATTTTTTTAATTTTATTTATTTTGTTTTTAATTAAAATTTGTTTTATATATTTTATTATATAAAATAGAATAAAAAAAATTTTAATAATAAATTATTATTATTAAATTAATATTTTTTTACACATGATTTAAATTTTATTTATTTTTTT